TAAGTAAATTGATGATATATACCAAAAACAAATCGATTCATGCTTCGAATGTTCATTTTCAATACGCCCCAAAGCTTTTTGACCAACGGAAAATATATGCCTGTAAAAAAGCAATAAAGAATTATTGATTAAACAATTGATGCTTTAATTGACTGTAAACATTTATTTTTCAATAATTAATTAGACAAATACAAATTAATAGAAAAAAACACCCCTCAAAAATTTAAAGATGAAAGAATGATTAAATTAAAGTGATAAAGGTAATAAAGATCATTATCATATGCGGTTAATTAACATTCACAAAATCAAGTATCATTTTAAATCGGGTCGAACAGATGCAAGTATTAATGATTATCATATTCAGGTCATCATCACTGGTGAATTTGATTTAATTTCTTTCACAGCCAAATAAATCTATTGCATCAAATTTATTTCGTGTAAACAAAAATTCTAAGATGCTAACGCTGGTAAGCTATTGAGATTATTGCTTTGTCGATATAATTTTTGCACCGTATCATCATAAATTGTTGATAATGCATCGTATGGATTTAGCACTATTAATACATCACCAGCAAATGTCTGCAAATTTTTAATTCACATCATAATTAATCAAAACAGTAATAGTCTAATAGTAGTTTTTCATTAAAAATGTATTAAAGCAATTCAAATTGGCTATTATTTAGAAATTTTAAATGATTATGTATAATGTTTTGTGCCATTATTATCATCATGATAAAATGAAATGTTGGAAATTATGCAGAAACAATCACAAGCTATTTATGATTACAAACAATTTTAGCACATCTTAAATTGTTAAGTTTTGAGAAATGATAAATATATTTTATTTGGACTGTAACATTTATCGTATTATTGAATTTTATTATTAATTTAATTAAATAATCTTGCGTGTTTAAGTTAACCAAAAAAAAAAAAAACCATACATAAAAACGTTTTGCATCAAAACGCTTTCGCAAAGCAAATAATAGTGCTGATTCCGATTCATCGCTGCAAAAATAAATTTAATTAAAATTATTTATTCCTCAGTTACGAATAAAATTTTATATTCAAAATATTTAAGAAATTTTATTTGATCATTGAAAAATTAAAATGTTCAAAAAAGACTCTCCGAGACTTTTCGAGTCTTTTCTAACCTGAACATTTCAATTTTTCAATGCGTATAATTTTGCATCTAATCCAAGTTTAAATTTAATATTTTATTTAAAGAAAAGCATACGGAATAGCAGCTAAATTTTCAGTATTTGGATCGAATAATTTCCGTTCAGTAAGCCTAATTGTATTCTCCAATCGAACTGTTTGACCCTTTAATTAATTTTTTTTTTTTACAAAATTTGTTTTTTTATTAGAGATGGATGAAAATAATTGTTGCTTTATAATAGAATTGACCAA